GCACGCACGCACGCACGCCCACACACAGTCACCAGCAGTCAGTCCTTCTTTTGACATAAAAAGTAAACAAAAATTGTATTAATTATTATTATTATTATTCTCATTATTGTCTGATTGCCTCCACATAGTATTTATTTTTCAATCAGTTTTGGCTTTGTTTGTGTTTTTACTACACTGGTGCACCCTGAAGACCATCAAAGCCAACTTAATCAAATCTCCACATCTGTCAGCGCGCTTATACGTTCAGGACGCCACAATTTATTCATGTTTAATTTGCTAATTACTGTATCGATTACTTGGATAATTACAAATGCTAATACCATAAATATTTTTCATGACGTACCAAGGGGGAAAACAAACAAACAACAGAAACTTAAAGCCAAAAGCGGTAGTTAACAGGATTTTTTCCACCAACAGCCCCAAACAAAGGAAATTACACATTTCCACTGAGTTTAATAAGCAGAAGAGACACAAACGCTCACATTTTAAAAGTGTTTTTGCTCGTTTGATTCACAACGATTAAGTCTGACTATTTTCCAATCAGCTGATCTAATTGATTAAACATTTGACCCCTTTAATTACTACAGAACAGCAGCATAAACAATAAATCAAAAACTCACCTCATATTAGCTGTTAGGAATAATGGGGTACACGCATATGGGGATATAACAAGCGGGCTGATAGACAAGAACCCCAGATGAATTTAACTTTTACGTGTGTTACGCTTGTTTACCGGGGTGATAAGTTTGGTCAAACTGGGTGAAAAAACTCTCCACTGTGCATTCATATCCTGTGCAGCCTGTTTTGGTTTCTTTACTTACAACACATTGGTGGCCAGCGGGATCTCTTCCGCCGCAGGGGCCCTTTCCAACCCGATGTTGGAGCAGTTGACGACGCAGGACTGCTGGGGCCCCAGTGGACAGCTGCAGTTAACGGGACAGGGACTGCAGCTCTTGCCGCCGTCCGCCTGCGCCGCGGAGCCCCATACTTCCAAGCAGCAGAGCGCCACAAGCAGACTGGAAAAGAAACTAAACCTCGGGAGGCAGACGCCATGTTTTCGCTTGGATAAAGTCTGTCCATTTCCACAAGGCATAGCTCACTCACATCTCATCGCCTCTGATGGTGTAAGTCCTCACAGTCTGGGAAGGAACAAAATGCACGGAACAAAAGCAAAAACACGCGCGTCCTTTTTCCACGGCTTTCATATAAGGAGACAAAAACAGAAGAAGTCATTAACTTTTTCCACACTGTTATCTGTCTTTGTTTTCCCAGCGTTGTTTTTCTTCTCCTCGTATCCCCTTCCCCTGAAAATGTAACGGAGCTTTTCCAGAATCCTTTGAGGAGAAAAAAGTTTTGGAGAACTTCCTCCCTCCCCCTTTTTCCATATCATGCAGTTCCACGAGCCGCCACTGTGACCTGGCGAATAGCCTGCTTTTCCTTCTCAGTTGAATGAATACAATGTTAGACTGATTACCCCTTAAAAAAGGTAAACATTTAAAGTGAAAGTTACTGAAAAAAACAGCTAGAAAATGGCATGTACAGTTTTTTTCAAGTTGCCAAAATAATAGATTGAAATAAACGCAGTTTTGAAGTTCATATGCAGGCCTCAGATTTCTGGTATTTTTTCTCTGATGAGGGTTACTCCTTGTTAGAGGGCCTGGGTAAAAGATTCATGGGTATTCTCTGTTTGTTTTTCCTGATAAAAGTCGAAGCTTCTTCACTTGCCAAACTGGCAACACAGCTTCGATCAATCCTTCATTCAAAAAAGTTGAGATGCTGTGCAAAAGGAAAAGCAGAATGCAGCCACTTTAAAACCCACATTTGGTTAAAATTAGTAGAAAGAAAGCATAGGAAACGCTGCGAGTAGGAAATGTTATTGATTCTGTTATCGGTTTTTGAGGGGAGAATATATGGTCATTTTAAATTTGACGCAAGCAAGACATTTTAAAACATTTGAATAAAGAAAGAAAGAAATGAAAAGTCAGTACCACCTTCTTTGTGGGCATTTAAAAAAGAACCTTCTAGAGCAGAGCTGGACTGGCCATCGGGCATACCGGGCATTTGGGCCATATGATTTTTCGTTTTAATGTTTGTTTTTGTAATGGTATAAACAATGAAAGGTGGTGGATTAATTAATTGGCCAATTGGTCGTGATCGACTCTGGGCTTACAAAACACTCGTAGGTGAAAAGGAAACGATTTGTCGCCTACTTCAGCTAGAATGAAAAAAGACACAAAGCTGGACTTATTCTGCGTCTTTACGCTGCACAGCTGCCTCTTCTCATCTTCTTTTCTCCCCTGTTGCTACTTCAATCATGAAACTGATCAATGATCAGCTGATCGGGTTTTCTGTCTCGCCCTGTCTCTCTTGTTTATCGCCCAGAAAGAAGAAACAAGCGGATGCCGCGCTAAACAACAGCAGCACGTTTAAGCTTGATAAGCTGTTAGAATTAATTTGATATTACTTTTGTAGTATCAGCTGATGTTTGCTGGAGCCACAGCCGTAAAGCTGCTGGTCATGATATCGTTTTGGATATCTGGTGAGAGGAAAACGTGAAGATGAAACCATGAGATGTCCTTAAGTGGTCATCTGATGTAAACTGTATAGAAATCATATATACCAACAAGACAGTGTACGTCACTGTCAGAACAGCGTTTGTTTTCATTCAAAGGCTTTATGTTTTTTCCTATAATACCTGGGCCGATTTTTTTTGTCCCAGTCCAGTCCTGTTCTAGAGAGTCCTTCAGAAGTAAACACGGAAGCAGTTTACACGCTGTGAAAGACTGCATGGACAAGCTGAAAACGGTTTTCATCACCTGTAGTAGATGATATCATTGACAGATCAAAAGTATCAGAACAAAAGTGCATGCAAAGGACAAGGGCCTAAAGAAATACTGAATCACCTTACACTCATAAACAGGCACAATCAATATATCAGCTCAGAAATGTTTCTGAAAGCTGTTGTGGGCCTGCGATATGTGAAGGACTGAGGCCAAGTGAGAAATTGTCCTATTATTTATTTAATTGCTGTAAGCTCACCCCATGCACCTGGCATGTGGAGGCCTGATTATTGCCAAATAAGGCAGGCTCAGAAGCAACATAACATGCAGATGGCATTTTTTTTTTTCAATGACAGCCTTATTTATTTCAGAAACACTGTGCAACATTACAGTCAACCTACAGCAGCATTGAGGACTAGGTTCAGTGCACATTGAGAAAATTTGCTGCTTTTTGAAAAGAAGATTAGTCCTATATGATGCAAAAATGGGAAAACACTTGCTTACACTACACCACAACCTCGTCTTATTAAAAGAACAGATGATGTAAAACACTGGTAAACGCGCCCGTCTCCCAGGAAACACGTTGCTTGTATCAGCTTCAAAGTGAGGTTGAAATCTTTTTAATACAAATAGTCAAATCATTCAGTTTAAACATTTGTATCTGTTGTATTTGTACTGTTATTTTATTACACGTAAGCAATTTAAACTATTTCCAATCTAAATTCTGTCATTATGACATTGTACTTTTTTGAAAACAAAGTCAGTAATTGAACCTGAGCCATAAAAAACCTGAAATCATAAATAATAAACAGAGTGACTATTTTGTTACTATGAGTCAAGAAGGAGCAAAATGAAGACATATTCATAGTTCTTGTGATGAAGGCGGGCATAAAAACAGTTGCTGAAAAGATAAAAGGAAAAATCACATGATGAAATAAGCAATTTTGTTCAGATGAAAAGTGTTAACTATGAAGCAGTCACTGAGTATTCTTTCACCTTGAGGTAGAGATATGACTGTTGCAAAGCCTTCTTCACTCACAGAGATTGAAATTTTTCATCTTGCTGAAGTTTAATGAATCTGCTCTGCTGGTATTCCATTGTCAAATGACAAATGTATAACGTTCTATTTTTCATATTTCTCGTCCCTGCAGTATTTCCTGAAGCAGTGCATGGCACGTGTTAGAAGTGTTTCTCGGGTATTTGATTTGGCCAGAGCGCACACATCCTTCCTGCAGGCATCTGGTGCTCTGTACAAAGAAGAGCCCCACAATAACTTGCATACTTTCTTATTCTCATGAGTCTTTGGCAGTTCTTCACTGTAGAGCTTATATTTGAGAGACAAAAATATGCGTGAGTGAAAGACAGTCTGCACTCAATATTTTAGGGGAAGTTAAAAAATAAAGAGTTATGTGTACAAATCTATACATACGCCTTTCAAAACATAGTTTGCAATGCACTTTGGCAGATAAGTACAAAGGAGAACAATCAGAAGGTAAATTCAAACAAAAAGCCAAATATTGAAGCCAAAGAAAACAAGATAAGGGAAAGTTGAGACAGAGTTTTTTAAAAAAGAAAAAGGAATGTACAAAGCAAAGCACAAATTGGTAAACAACAAATACTGAAAAGAATAAAAGCGATTATAACAGTACAGTAAGAAAAAACAAGAGGATAAAAGCAATAAATGCTCTGCATCACATAAAAAATATGATTTCAGAAGTGATTTTGGAAGGAATTCACTGATTCTGAGAGCCTTATATCCTCTGGAGTCAAGCCTGAGGATTTAAGGGTGGTGGTTCATGTAGGGGTCAACAGTTTTTGCCATTTACCTTGAAGCCAGATCCAAGCATTCCTTGAAGGTGATTAGCAGAATCTCAAAATCAAAGACATGGAGCTGGTGGAAAGAGGTCAGGAATGGGGTGATGTGATGCTGACTTCTAAACCTGAGTAGTGACTTTTCAGAGTATGTACGACCCAAAAAGGTGCAAAAAGTTGGGACTCAGTGTAAAATGATGTGCAGATTTTCTAAACTCATATTTTATCCAGTTGGTGAAATTTGTGATCTATATGCAGGCCAGTTCAGCATCCAGACTTCTCTGCTACTAAACCAGGTGTAGCATTTTTTATCTGAAATATGAAAGACCTTCTCTGAAAAAGGACATAATCTGCTTATGAGCATATGCTGCTTTGATCCTGTATATACTTTTGAGCATTAATGATGCATTTCTATAGGGATTAATGCACCCTCATACCATCTGAGATGTAGGCCTTTGAATTTGGTCCGTCGAACAAGGCAGAGGATCCCTCTCCTTTTTAGGAAAAGCAACATCCAGAAAGAATTTCAAATTTTGATTT